AAAAAAAAAAAAAAAAAAAAAAAAATTAGCCAGGCATGGTGGTGTGCACCAGTAATCCCAGCTACTCGGGAGGCTGAGGCAGGAGAATTGCTTGAACCTGAGGGGCGGAGATTGCAGTGAACCGAGATTGCAGTGAGCCGAGATTGCACTACTGCACTCCAGCCTAGGTGACACAGCGAGACGCCATCTCAAAACAAAACAAAAAACAAAACAAAATGGAGCCAGAGAGCCTAGAAGAAAACAGTATGTGGAAAAAGATGAGAGCCAAATGGAAGCATCAGGAGCTGAGGAAGGGTCCAATATCCTAGAACAAGAGAAAGGCCATTGAGGGAGGCCCATGAGGAGGTCTCAGGGTGCCAGGCTGCATGGTGACAGGGAGACCACTAACTTGCTGAAGTTGAAGGAGGTGGTCCAGGGCCAGGCAGGACCCTGGACTTCAGGGTCCCCACTGACCTTGCAGGCCGAGGGAAAGGGCTCAGCCTTGGTGCCTGGTGGAACCACAGAGAGAAGACACTGGAAGGGCAGAAGAGACCTCATGAGATCAAGACTGGACCAGGAGAGGAGTGAATGACAGTAGGGAGGATCGGCAGGAGTCCGTGTCCAGTTGACATCTGAAATGGAGTGACATGAGCTTAGGAGAACATGATATGTACCCCAGGGTGAGCCCCTGCCAGGGACTGTGGGTGTAGAGCTGCCTCAGACACTAAGGTCCTGCTTGAGAACAGACAGGTGAAAAGATGGAGCCTTCGGTGCTAACTCCTGATCCTTCTCTTTCCTCCTGATCCTTCTCTTTCTTAGAGGTGGCAGCAGAAAGTTTCTTGGTACACATGGCACAGCACCTGACTTAGGCAACCTTTTGGGTTGGGGCTGGAAGAAGAGAGTCCCTGTGATCTCACCAGGCTTTGTGGCCGAATTGAACCCATCCAGTACCAGCCTGCTCCTCACGCCCACCTCATGGGTGAGGACCATGACCGGGTTCCACTTCCTTCTTTCTTCACTCTGTTAAGTCTGAAATCCCTCCGGCATTAAAGCGAGAAAAGACACATGTGTTTGGTCTCAGCACCTGACTCTATTTGTTCTGGAAATTGGTTGATTTCACCTACTCACATTCATTTCTTCTTCTGGTAACAACTCCTCAATTCCCCTTTGAGGAAACCACCCCTTTCTTTATTTTTCTTTAGAAAATGTTCAGTTGTAGTAAAATACATAAAACATGAAAGCGATCATCTTTTTTTTTTTTTTTGAGATGGAGTCTCGCTCTGTTGCCCGGGAGTACAATGGTGCAATCTTGGCTCACTGCAGCCTCAGCCCCCAGGGTTCAAGTGATTCTCCTGCTTCAGCCTCCTTAGTTGCTGGGATTACAGGTGCGCACCACCATGCCCAGCTAATTTTTGTATTTTTAATAGAGGCAGGGTCTCACCATGTTGGCCAGGCTGGTCTTGAACTCCTGGCCTCAGGTGATCTGCCTGCCTCAGCATCCCAAAGTGCTGGGATTATAGGCGTGAGCTACTGTGCCTGGCTGAAAGTGATCATCTTAACCACTTTTAAGAGTACAATTCAATAGTAGTAAATACACTTACGCTGTTGTGCAACCAACCCCCTTCCTTTCTTAAAAAGTCTGTGTGTGTTTGGGTCTGATCTCAACTCCTGGTTTCAGGGTGGGGCCTATGAATAAGGCTGGTCCTATGAGAGCACGCCATTTTCCTAACACAGGCTCATCATAAAAGCCAAGCCCATGAGAATCAATCTAAGGGCAGTTGCTAGAACTCATGGAAAGGAGCCTTGCTCTTTCTGTTTCAGATGCCAAGCCAGTGGGAATATAGTTGGAGCTGCAGGCAGCCATCTTTGCCACCAGCTCCAGGACTTGCCTGGCAATGAGACCCACAGAAAGGAAGGCAAAGCTGAGAAATGAAGGTAGATGGATTCCTGGCAAAGTTGTTTGAGCATTTGGACTCAGCCATGCCTGAAACTATTGCCTATACACTTTTCAGTTATTTGAAACAATAAAAATAAATTCTCTTTTTTTGCTGAAGCCAATTTGAGGTGGTTTTTTTTTTTTTGTCATTTGCAACCAAACCAATCTCTCTAAGAATTTGAATATCTAAGAATTGGGTTTATTGTTGCATGTGAGGCTTATAAGATCCAAGCATCAATGTCCTTTTTCCTTCACCTCACCTCTCTGAGCTTTCAGAAATTGTCACCTAACCTAGGCCAGAGCCCCATCACAGACTGAGCACACGACATTTGTTTCATGATGAAGTTGAGAAAAATGGTTTTGGAGGAAAGTGAAAGGCAAAAAAAAAAAAAAAAAAGATAAATGCTTGTCACTGATGTGCAATGACACATTAACAAGCATCAGTAAACACAGACATCTATAAGTATGTAATAGACAGCATGTCCTAAGAAAGATAGTGTTTTTCAGCCATGGTTGAAAGTCCACCCTCTCCTAACTTACGAGACTATACACTGGATCTACGCATGATGTGAGGCACAGTCATTGCCCATAGGAGCATCTGGTTTACACTTTGCAGTGTGGATACACAGAGAATGCAGGTTGTAGTCAGTACTAGCATCTCTTTTCCAAAAGAGTCAAGACCAGAGACAGACAAGTCAATGTATTCTTTTTTTTATTTTTATTTTTGAGATGGAGTTTCACTCTTGTTGCCCAGGCTGGAGTGCAATGGTGTGATCTCAGCTCACTGCAACCTCTGCCTCCAGGGTTCAAGCAATTCTCCTGCCTCAGCCTCCTGAGTAGCTGGGATTATAGGCATGTGCCACCATGTCCGGCTACTTTTGTATTTTTAATAGAGTTCAGCGTTTCTCCATGTTGGTCAGGCTGGTCTCAAACTGCCAACCTCAGGTGATCTGCTCGCCTCAGCCTCCCAAAGTGCTGGGATTACAGGTGTGAGCCACCATGCCCGGCTGTTCAGTGTATTCTTAATGCAGATCCCAGAACAAATATATTGGGAGTCTACTGTCTGTTTTGGAGTTTACTGTGCATGTCTCATCATCAAAGAGCAGGAACTCTTGGAAGATGGATTTAAAAACTATGAGAGATTATATTTATATGGGTTTTCATGAAGTTCCCATGAGGGTATCTATTAGATGAATGTGGGGTGTGGTGGCTCATGCCCATACTCCCGGCACTTTGGGAGGCTGAGGCAGGTGGATTGCTTGAGCCCAGGCGTTTGAGACCAGCCTGGGCAACATAGCAAGACCCTGTCGCTACAAAAAATTTTTTGTTAAACTAGCTGGCATGGTGGTATGCACCTGTAGTCTTAGCTACTCAGATGGCTGAAGCAGGAGGATCATTTGAGCCCAAGAGTTTGAGGCTACAGTGATCTGTGATCATGCCGCTGTACTTCAGCCTGGGCAACAGAGCAGGAGCCTGGTGCTAAAAATAAATAAATAAAAAAAAAGTTTTTTTAAAGTAGTGTCTTCTTTGTGAAGCTGAGTTTTTGGGTTTTTCTTTTTTTTTTTTTTTTTTTTTTTTACCTAAAGGCATGAATGTTTTTTTTTTTTTCCCGGGCCCATGATTCTATAATCTCCTTTAGGAACTCTCAGGCATAGACATAGAAATCTCAGGGGTGTGTGAGGAGAATAAATACGACTCAGGGATGTAAAGCCCAGCAGAGCCCTAGCATTCACAGGAATGGTCCATGTGTCACAGCCAGCGAGTAAAAGGCACACAGGAAAGCATGGAGAGCCAGCTCCACAGACTCTGAATGTTTCTAGCATCCGGACTCCTAACAGGCTGTATCCATCATGAGGAAGCCTCCAAGGGGGTCCCCTCAGCCCCTCCGGAAGCACACCAGCTCCAACCAGCCCTGTCCAGAGGCTCCATCCTTAGGACCCTGACCCAGCCTCCTCCAGTCCCAGCCACCAACTGGCACGGTTCACCTTCTCTGAGGCAGCACAAAGCCACATGAGTGGCTCCTTCTTTCCTTCCAGCTCCTGGGTACATGGGGATGTACGCTGACCCCTTCAGAAGCTGGCTCACATGGAGAGGCCACGAGGGCTACAGAAGGGCATCTGAGTCTTAGTGTCCCTCTGCTAAGCCACGGATCTAAGACTAGGCTAGCTGGCTGGGCTGCTGGGATTACGTCTGTAATCCCAGCACATTGAAAGGCTGAGGTGGGTGGATGACCTGAGGTCAGGAGTTCAAGACCAGCCTGGCCAACATGTTGAAATCCTGTCTTTACTAAGAATACAAAAATTAGGTGGGTGTGGTGGCACACACCTGTAATTCCAGCTATTTAGGAGGGTAAGGCAACATAATTGCTTCAACTCAGGAGGAGGCAGAGGTTGCAGTGAACCAAGATCGTGCCACTGCACTCCAGCCTGGGAAACAGAGTGAGATTCATCTCAAAAAAAAAAAAAAAGACTAGGCTAGCCATGGATTCAAGTCACAGAGCCACAGCAAATCTCCCAAGCTTTGCACATCTTCACAGCTTAGCTGTGTTCCCAAGGCCTTGCACAGACCTGGCACATGGAAGACATCTGTGAACATGTGTTGCTGTTCACCAGTCTTAGTGTCTTCATCTATGAAATAGTGGTTCTCAACCCACGTTGTGGGACAGGAGAGGAGATCCCAGCGCTCAGCATGCTGAGTGTGCACAGAGTGGTCTCATCATATCCAGTCGCCCAGCCCAGGAAGGGAGCATCATTGTTCCCATTTTGCAGATGAGAAAACTGAGGTTAGGAAACCTTAACAGCCTGCTCTCATGCTCCCTGCAGAGCCAGGAGTCAAATCCAGGTCTGAGTCTGAAGCCCTCGTGGTTTCCACTACACCGCACCACCCTTTCACTGTTAAGTGCTCCTGGAGGGAGTTATTTCCACCTCCACCCAGACTGCGGCCCCCACACCCAGCACTGAATCGCCGGCGCTTGGATGCAGCAAGCCACAGCTTCCTGGGCAGCCCTCAGCTGCGGGCCACGGACGCTGACTTCCTACCACCCATCCTTGCCCGAGCTCGCCCACCTGGAGAAGGGCCCCGACTGTCCCCAGGGGACGCCCCCACGCAGGAAATACTCACGGCTCCCGCAGGCCCAGGCGGCTCCGCGGGGCGCATCCTCTCCGGGGGCTCCAGCCTCCTCGAGAGCAGTCGAACGCTGGGCTGGGCTGCCTCCTTTCTCTGGGGCATCAGATTATTTTAGCACTAGCGGAAGGAACAGACGGAAACTGAAGTCACATGGAGAGCGGGCTGCTCAGCTACTCAGCACTCAGGCTCACTTAGATCGCGCTTCTTAGAGGGAACTGAAGCGCGGGGCGCGGGGGATGGGGCGGGCTGAGGGGAAGCGAGCCCCTAATACCTGCGGGGCTTAGTCGCCAAGCATCGGGGATATTTTAATGATTTTCCAGCAATGCGAACTAGGCTCCCCCGCTTTCTTGCCTTAGAGCCTTTACGGGGCTGGGGCCGGCTAGGGATACTTGTCTGTGAGGTCTGCTAACGCAGAAACTTTTCTATAAGGTTCCAGCCGAGGACCAAGCTGAGGCCGACTTTCGGAATGGCAGCACATGGTTTCCACTTGTCAAGAGGGACAGCCTGCCATCTGGAAGAGTCAGCCACTTAGCTAGTCTGTCTTTTCATCCACTCAGCTAGTCCTTATGGATAATCCCCTTTCATGGACCCACACTGTGTTAAAAAGCAGTGGAACTGCTTTGTCGTGAACTGTCAGGGAGTGCCATGAGCTTCTGGATCATAGGCTGCATGGATGAGGTTTTTGTACCTGATGTGTACAAAGTTCCCTGCCAGCTCTTGCCAAGGATTCAAAGGAATAAGAAGCATTGATAATATCGCCATCATCGAAGGAGCGCCAGACACTGTGCATTCTCCCAGAGCTCCTGTTCTTGAGGAACTACTGTTGTCCAGAGAAGGTGAAATATTTACAGGGTCTGCTGCATGCCCAGTAGTGACGTGGACCACCACACTAGTGGGCTCAGACAAGGGGTCTCCAGTTCCGATCTCTCATTCCCCTTCAAATCTGGAATGCTGGGCTTGGCGCAGTGGCTCACGCCAGTAATCCCAGCACTTTCGGAGGCTGAGGCAGGAGGCTTACCTGAGGTCAGGAGTTTGAGACCAGCTTAGCCAATATGGTGAAACCCCCGTCTCTACTAAAAGTACAAAAAATTAGCTGGACATGGTGGCAGGTGCCTGCAGTCCCTGCTACTCGGGAGGCTGAGGCAGGAGAATCACTTGAACTTGGGAGGTGGAGGCTGCAGTGAGCCGAGATTGTGCCACTGCACTGCTGCCTGGGCAAGAGAGTGAGATTGTCTCAAAAAAAAAAAAAAAAAAAAAAAAAAACTTGAACTTTGAAGTGTCCTGCAGAATTGGGTCACCTCTCTTGTAGCCTGTGATTTCTGATTCTGTGTACCGTTGTCCATTCTAAGAGAAGAGGAACAGGTCCTTTCTACTCCAAAAATCCAGCAGATTGTCTCTGCTCTCTACAATATTCACTCCTGGCGGGACACAGTGGCTCATGCTTGTAATCCTAGCACTTTGGGAGGCCAAGGTGGACCGCTTGAGTGCAAGACCAGCCTGGGCAACATAGCGAGACTCTGTGTGTACAAAAAAATTCAAAAATTAGCCAGAGCTGGTGGCACGCACCTGTAGTCCCAGGTATTTGGGAGGCTGAGGTGGGAGGATCACCTGAGCCCAGGAGCGTTGAGGCTGCAATGTGCCAAGATCATGCCAACTGGACTCCAGCCTGTGCAATAGAGTGTGACCCTGTTTTTTAAAAATAAAAATAATTTTAAAAATATATTCATTCGTAAGAATTATAAGGGTAATAACATTGACATTCATAAAGGTAATAACAATGACATGAATGAAAAAGCTAAATAAAGATTAAATTGTTGCAAAGCCAGGTGTCTGATTCAGGCCTCTTTCTCTTCTGTATGCATTCTGTACTTCATGTCTTTTCTGTCTACCATTCTGTTGCTAAATCCCCAATTTTAATCTCTAGTGCCAACATTTTCTTCCATGAGAGAAGGTCCAGGCTTGCATTTTTAACTATCTACTGGTCAATCAACTCCTATATGTCCCGGAGTCACCATAACATGATATATCCCAAACTCAACTCTCTCTCTTTTTTTTTTTTGAGAGGGAGTCACGCTCTGCTGCCCAGGCTGGAGAGCAGTGGCTCGATCTTGGCTCACCGAATCCTCTGTCTCCCAGGTTCAAGTGATTCTCCTGCCTCAGCCTCCTGAGTAGCTGGAATTACAGGCACCTATCACCATGCCTGGCTAATTTTTGTGTTTTTAGTAGAGACAGGGTTTCACCATGTTGGCCAGGCTGGTCTCGAACTCCTGACCTCAGGTGATCTGGCCACCTCAGCCTCCCAGAGTGT